AGGATTCTGGGAACTTGTGGCAAGCGGTACTAGCGCACGCAGGCTTTCAATTAAAATCAGTTACACAGCGATAAAAAGAAACACAAAAATGGCAAGAAGCTGTTGTATCATTAACTGCAATAGCCGGTCGCATGACAGCCACGGGAAGCCGACGGGTAAAGAGATCGGTTGTTATCGGATTACGTCGTTGAAGAGAAATTGTTCGAGCCATGTTTCCGAAGTAACAAAGAGGCGACGGATGGCCTGGATTGCAGCCATTCTAAGATCAAATATAACGTCCCAGAACACTCCAGCTCACAGGTTAGTCTGCTCCAAGCATTTACACGAAGGTCAGTGTTTTTTGGTAGTTAATACGTCATTTTCATAACATAATTAGTGATATAGGTTACAAGCAAGTCTGGCGCTGAACAGAAATTGTCGCGCTATGCTCCTTTATTTATTGTGCATAAATAGTGAATTGTCCTGACACAATACTGCGTTTCGCTTCTGTTATTATGGTACATTGACAAAAACATATACTTTTATTCACAGGATAAAACAGGTTTTCTGTATCACTAATTGCCCAGTACGATTACAGCATACAATATTATTGTCACTGCTACATTTCTGTGATTGGACTTTTACACCAATGACTTTTACACCAGAAATTATTTCCACTGCTAATTAATTACCGTTGAGCTCAAAGGTCCTATTAATAAACGGTTAATGAATGTGTATTTATGACGACGATTTGTGAGACTGGTAAACTTATGATACGTACGATGGTCTTTCGTTCTACACGGTGCATTTCAAGGTCCTGCACCCATCCGTCGGTAAACTGTACCTGGGCTTGTTGCAGTGACCTGAAGTTACTAAACTTCATGAGTGTATGCACTCACTCCAAGAACCGTATAATTATAAATATGCATATAAATATGCTACAATGAGATAGCTGACTTCATCTAACTAGCAAATGTTGTCCAGGCTACGTTGGTGATGCAGTTTTTTTTAAATGTGTATGATATTTTTGTCATGCGATTTTAAAGCCGGTCCTACAACCGCATCCAAGAATAACATGCAGCTTATCTCAGAACTGTCGGTGAAAATTATTCTTGGAGCTAGGTTTAATTGAGCTGCATTTTAAAGAGGTGCAATTTCACAATTTGTGTATATTTTCTAAGTTCACTATTTTGTCATGTGTTGAGAAAAACACAGATTTAAAATTACATGGTCTAATATTTACATTTAGCATAACTGCAACATTATTTTTTCGTTGTTTTTTTTTTAAAGACTCGAAAGGACTTGAAATTCAAAGTTTCAGACTTGTGACTTGACTCGGACTTTTACACCAGTGACTTGAGACTCGACTCTGACTTGCCTGACATTACTTGAGACTTGACTTGAGACTTGAGGATAAAGACTTGAGACTTACTTGAGACTTGCAAAACAATGACTTGGTCCCACCTGTGTTATTTTCCACTGTTTGCATGACAAAGCTTTAGATCTTGGAGAGGCAAATCCTGTATATTTAGTTAGTCTTTCATGAACTCTATACTACATAAAAATCAATAAGAGTGGAGTGAATAAAAAAATGATCTAAAACCATCTTCTTTCTTTGCAGCTAAAGCACACTGTGTGCGTGTTTTCATGCACACTGAATAAAGCCACTTCAACATCAACATGAAGTTCCGCAATTAGCCGGGCAGAGAAAAAAAGGACAGAAAGACAGCGAGAAAGGAAGAGAGGAGGGGTGGGGGAGGAAAAAGGATGGAAACCAACGCTTGAGGAATTGAATTACCAGAGCCTTTTCTCATTATCATTTAGCCGTCTTTTATGGCCCACCAGTAAGAGATGATGTTCCCATGACCCCGCACAATACACAGACATATTATTCAATCCTGCCTCGATGAAATTCCTGCAAATAAAACCTTTGTGCCGGGCAACAGCTAATTATTTGACAGATTGGCCCCCTTCTGGCTCAGGTTACAGTGTGGAGTGGCCATGTTTTAGCCCCCCACTCCCCACCTCCCACCCAAGCAAGAACACCACCAGCACTCCCTCCCCGCTCTCTTCCAATCCTGGTGCAGAGAGGGGCCACTTTGACAAAATCCCAGAGGGCCTCATTCTTTTCAGGAGATTATATATTTCTGCCCCCCCCCCCCCCCCCCCCCCTCCCTTCCCAACCATCTATCCATCCAAAATCAGGGGAGCGTGATGTGTGTGTGTGTGTACAGATGGGGGTTCTGTGTGTCAGTGACAGCAGTCATTTCATAGTTTAAAGGGTTTTCTCAAGCAGAAATATTTAATCTTCCCACGAAAACAAAGTTTGGTGGTGAACGACCATGATGGAAAGACAGAAAGAGAGATGTAAAAAAAAACGAAGAAAAAAAACACCAAACCATGTCAAATATGTGTTTTGTTACACTCTATTTATACTTACTTTGAAGAAATGCTGTACCTATGAATTGAGCATAATTTTTTGTAATACCAAATTAGAGAGTGGGGAACATTAAGGGATTAAAGTTTTGGGTGGGCATGCCTTTGGCTTTGATTCAGTCCACTAATAACAAGAGTTTGTCATTAGTGTTCGGACATGGACCACCAAGATAAATGCCAACACATGTTTAAATTATCTGGAGAGTAATGGCATTTTCCTTCAGCCCTTTCCCTTCCCATAAAGGTCCCTTGTTGACTCAACTATGCCGACATTTTGAGTTATCAGCTCAGGTTTAATCTGTTGCTTACTTTGCACCCATGCAGATGGAATAATTCAAGAGGTTGTACGTGTTAAAGAGGTTAAAACGAAGCAATGCGTAGAAATGATGTAAGGGAAGGCCACTGGGGAACAATGACATTTAATTACTGTGGATTTTAAGCATACATGAAATGTATAAACATGTTATATATAGAAGGATGACAAACTGTGATAAACACTTTTTCAGTTACACATATAATAATAAATAAATATATATATTGTTCTGACATTTGTTATTAAAATCAATTGAACTAGATACAGTCATTTAAAAACTGCCATTTAATTGTAATAGTGAAAATGCCGCGACTGAAAGAAAAAGTCACAGATTATTTTTAGAATCTTGACGCAGTGCTTGTAAAACCACAACACTTTTGCCTGTCACCCAAGAGAACTAAAACAGGGAACTACTGCTACTGTGTGAGGCATTTCTGCCACAGCGTTTCTGGAAATTGCCAGAGCTGAATATTTCTAAACGGGGAATTGATATCAAATAATGAAACAACCTGAAAAATGGAAGTTGGAGTTGGACTTAGAGGAAATCAAAAGGATTGTTGAAATGCCAAATTCTGAGGCCATGCCAAGCAAATGCTGCACTATGACCAGTTTGTCTGCAGTTTCCGTGCTAAGATTGGTGTTGTGACATATCAGGACAGGATGTCCTCTGAATTTGGTAAAGTCTTAACAATCCAACCCTTTATATATGAACTAACTATATGCAAACATCTTTAAAAAGACAAAACAATTTAGCCTTTTTTTAATGTACATCACCCCGTAAACACCACTTTGAGCTTCTGCTCCTAACAGTTCCCAACAGTTACACCCTTTTGTTTTTCCACCTCTTGTACGGTGAAATTCTTGCTGGGATCCAGTTGCATGTCTGGGATGCTCGACTACTGTGTTCACCTGGCATGAACCCAAGTGAGCAGAGCCTAGAGTATTCATTGCTCAACCTGGATGAAGGTCATACAGTCCAGCTCTTCCCCACTTCGCTCCCCAGTGAGCAAACATATGGCCATGGAGCACCTTGAACATGTTTGGGTGACCAGAGCTACTTGGCCTGGGTTGCCACGGCAAAGAGAAAAAGTGGCACTAAGGGAGGTTTAGGCCTAACTTGCTAAAGCAGATCAAGGATAAGGAGGGAATCGGAGGCTGCCAACAACTGAGATCATCAATAACTAGTTGCTTGCAAACACCATGTAAAGTCACCCAGCCGTGCATGCACATGGAAATCTACAGAGTTTCTCGCCTGTCTTGTTTCTCCTCCCCTGTTTCTGTTGATATAAATGCTTGTAATCATAAGGTACAATATCATCACCCCATTGTTCAAACAGCCAAGCCTCATCTAATCGCTTCCACGTTTCCTCAGTGTTAAGCTCATTAGTGGGTGACCTAAAGGCATGTAGGGAAAAAAAAGAAAAGACAAGCAAGAGAGACAAAAAAAAATCTTTGGATAATGGATGCTTGCTGTTTTGAGACAGTAAAAATAAACAGGTCTGCAGCCTTGATAATGAATATGCTGCAAATGCTGGCCTACAGTGTGAGTTTATCACAAAAGTCCAACTAATAAGCCTGACTAGTGCGTATGTGCATGCATTTTTTTAATATATAGTTGGAGCAGTGTGTATGAGCATGCCAAAATTGAGTCCTTCATTCTATGTGTTGCTACATGTGCGTGTATTTACCTTCCGGCTGGCTGAGGGTTGGGGGTAGGGGTGGAGAGGGTGTCGGAGATGACGATTCGCCGCTAGACTTTGTGAATGGGGATGTGAAACTGTCTCTAGTGTCTGAACGTCCGGCCCAGGTGGCGACTGGAAGGCTGACTTCATTAGCCTTAAAGAGGAAACAAAGGAAGATGCATCGTAAAAAAGTGCCATCCCTCATCTGCAAGGCCACCGCCTGACACATTAGGAATCTGTATGCTCAATTAACCACTGGCAGGCTCATTTTTCCTCTCTCTCTCTCGCTCTCTATACCACTTTCTCTCTTCCCCCTGCTCTTGATCAAACAGCGAGCGGGAGCAATCACACTAGATAGAAGCGAAACTCAGTACGTAGCGTGTTTGTGAAGTTTGATGTATTTTACTTGCACGCTAACTGCAGTAGGTTAAAGGGAAAAAAAATACTTTTTTGTCAAAGTTTTAAAAAAAGAGTCAATTTTTTGTAAGCTTAATGATTGCAGTTGAACACATTCAAAACCCCTCCCTATGAATTCTACAGCTGTGTAATTTTATTCTTATTATCATTTATTTATGTATTTTTTGTTACAGGAGAAGAAATGTGATCCCTCGGAATAGAAGAAATCAGCTTTAAGTGGTATGTAGTTTATTTGGGACTTTTTTTTACTTGAAAAGTGCACAAAAATATGATCCCCACTTATATATTCTTATATGTTCTATCAGAACTCATAAGCATAATTATACGCACAGGTGACAAATGAAAGGGAAAGACGACATCAAGTGTCGAACATGCTGTTGAACAATGGGTTGTAATGAAGTTGTAATGAAGGGTTTTCTAAATCGATATATTAACGTCACACAAGAATGTAAAAGAGCTATGTCCATCAATATTGAAATAATGTTTTTATTAAGCCTTTTCAACTTCTTAACTTTTTTGTTCAAACCCATGTTACTTGGTGTTCTTCATGTGTTCTGCATATCATATAACCTTGAGCCGCCAGCCTTAAGAGATGAGAAATGGGCCACAGAGTTTTCAGTTTGTTCTAACTATGCACCTCCTAGATTTTCTGATCCATGCACACTTGCAGCCCCAACCAGTGCTCACACAAGTGAGGAAATTTATCAGACTTTGTACAGCTCCCTCTGGAGGGAGTAGTATATGTAGTAATAAACAGAGTTTAATGTGTCCAATCATATAAGATAAACACAGGGGCGGCAAAGGTTCCTCCTCATGTTTTGTTGATGGAAATGCATACATGATCACGCAAACACACACACACACACACACACACACACACACACACACACACACACACACACACACACACACAAACCAGACTTAAATCATATCAACAGTTCTCTTGAGCTGGGTGTCAACCTGAGGATCTTTATCTCACTGAGTTTGAAAAATGACACCTGGCTAAGGTGGGGCTTTGCTGTGTGTGTGTGTGGAGGAGGTCACCCTGATACGCATCAACCTTTGATTAACGCTCTTTAAAAAGCACAGGCATCATAGCTCAGGAGGCCTCCATCAAACCCTTCGCTGCACTTCACAAGCCCAACTTCTTTTTATGATCTGACCCGCCCATTTTCTTTCTCCCGCTCTCATGCCACCTCACTCCCACCCACGTCCCCTTCGCTATCACCTTTCTTTTGAGGCCTATCCAGAGAGATGAATAATAGCAAGCAGCTGGCCGAGCACTTCCTTCCCCGTGTCAGGGTCAACAGTTCAGCATGCTGATAGAGACCCTTACACCTTTTTTTTTTTAATAAGAGCTCCCCTACACTCACACAGGTCACTTTGCTGCATCGCTGGACAGCCGTACTCCTGCCATCGTCTGCGCTCCCTTTCATTATATTTCTTTTTTCATCGCTTTGTGAGTCGCTGATTGATTGATAGCTGCTGCTTTTAGGTTAGTAAAACACCCCAAATGTACTTCGATTGATACAAAATAAATATTTACATATTAATAATTAATGCAAGCTATCTATTGACTGGGGTTTGGGTATAAAGAACAGCCTCAGCCTGTCAGAATTTGGCTTCTCTGTGTGAGTAATATTTACATTGATATATCATGAGGCTAAGCTAATAAACTTTTTGATGCTTGCTGCAGTTCCAATGTAGCTCCGTGTGGATTGACAGCAGAGGCCACCCTGGTCAGATTTTGAGTGGGCTCAGAAAGAAGTGCTAATCATAATGCTGAGCTAGCCTTGTTGAGCAGCTAATTACCTCCATTATGAAGATGCAGAGGCCTGATCAGAGGCGCCTCTGTGTGTACATGTGTGTGTTTTATATATGTGTATGTGCGTACTTTCCTGTGCCGATTAAAAAGGAGGATTAGCCGTCCGTCCAAGACAGAGGAAGCCGGGGTGGGGGGCTGGTGGTGATGGTGGTGGGAGGAGGGTGTCCCCCCCTCCTGGAGACGAGCCCTGACCTTCTCATTTCATCCTCATTAGTATCTCATGTCAACAGAGCAGCCACTCCTTAATCATCTGCTATCATCCCAGGCCTACACACACACACACACACACACACACACACACACACACACACACACACACACACACAAATAAAGACACAGAAAAACACAAATGGGCAAACAGGGCTACTGTTACAGACAGGGACCAGCACATCCTGAATACCCATTTATACTGAATATGAATGTATAAAGATCATTTTACAAGAAGAGTATGTATTGCATGTATGTATGTATGTAATGCATAATTTGTTACTTCAGTTTTCTGTGAAAAGTATTCAAACTTCTGGGAACTCTGATTACAGTAACACTGCATTCTCAGGGTAGAGTGTTAAATATTATTTGTGATCATGTAAAATGCCCTCTCAGCCACAATTAGGGAAGTAGCACCAAATGTCAAACTGTTTTTACTTTTTTCCCCTTATTCATCTGCTTCTATTTTCTTTTTTTCAACAAATCCAAATTGTATTTGTTGGATTCGGTGTATGGGATGTGTTGTTGGACAGCAGCATAGCTGTGTGGTACAGGGTGGGCTCGTCTGTCTGTGTCGGCCTCGGTGCCACGGAGGCCCCAGCAGGGTCGAGGGGAGCTGGGGCTCAGGGTGCCAGCACAAATGAGCTCCATTCATTTCCCCACTTCGGCATATGGTGGCCCATTGTCCTCGGCCACAGAGGCAGAAGTGATGCAATTTGTTGGCATGTCCTGTCATTTTCACAAACTGTCCATCCCACTGAGGCCCCGACCAGCAGAAGACAAGCAAGGGCAGCTTGTTGTTTTACCAGATAACATGTGTAGTTGTGCGTATGTGTTTACTGTATTCAATCCAGAGCTGATGGCGACACTCCAAAACAGAATAGAGACATATGTTGTCATCTGAGCAAATATTTTGATGAAGCACAAGGCAGAAACAACAGGATCAATCAGAGGAAATTACTCAGATTAAATCTCCCTGAAGATTATGATATGCAGTATGTATGTCAATCCCTGTATTGTTGTTTTCCAATACTGTTGTCTTACAATACTTTATCCTTATTTAGAGAATAAGATCTAATCTGATCTGGGCTTTAAGACATGAAGCTTCCTTATTTGCTTAATGGTAGATTTAAAAAAAAAACCCAGCAGCATTAAAAGGAAATCAAAACCAACGTAAAAAGAATACACACTGAAACCTCAGATTCATGAGTGAGAGTGAACTGAGCAGCTCACCCTTGCCTGTTCCTGGTTTCACTATGCCAACCATGAAGTTGCTGTCTGCGAGGAGAGGGGAAGGAGTCTTGTTTAACTTCCTGAAAAAGCAAACTTTTGACATGAGGTGCACAATATTAGCAATGCAGCAGCAGAAAGAAAGAAGTGTCTAGACATAACTACATTTAGGTCAGACAGAGGAAAACATATGATCGCACAGTCATGCACAAAACGATGGGAGTACATGGTGTTGACAGGCAATTGAATGACCAGGGTCAAATGTCACTGAACCCATTCCATGCTAACATTTGTGAGTGTGCATGTGTGTGCACCACATCCCTGCTTCATGCTGTGGTGTCACTCGCCCTTGGCTGCGATTTGGTCAGAGGTTTTCTTGGGTGCAACCGCACCCGACTCTCCCACGCATGCACACTCTCACATGTAATGGGAACGTGGGCTTTCCACTGAGCTCACGTGAAGAAATCAGCGGGAGCACCTTCAGACAGAAGTTGACTTCACTTTAGCCTCTTTGAAGATTGATGACATTGGTGCTTGTTTCACTGGATGTAAGGAACAAGTGGCCCCTCAGAGACTCATTACACCTCAGCAAGATTTGGAGAATAGAGTGACACTGCTCCCGATTACCAGATTCATCATTTGTATTGGACTGAGTTCCTGCTTCACAAATGCTGGATGGCGAACTAAACCAAAACTACTGACGTGGTTTTATGCCCTTTGCTGCAAAAGAGCTAAAGAAAGAAAAAATAGTGGCAAATGTGATGTGAGCTGCGTTTGTTTATTTTCCCTCACATGAGACATGCATAAACAGTCAGATAATCCATCTTTGTCCCCCCACGCAAACATTTAACCAGGCTCATCTTATACCCCAATCATACATCCCTGACCTCAATCCTGGCCACACTTCTCTCCATTTGCTCCCCCCTTCAACCCCGCCCTCGTTCTTCCAGCCACCATGCTTTGGTAGCACGGATCCTTCTCCGGCCCTATCCTTAACCCCATTTTCACCCTCCACCCCCACCTATCCTCCAAACCTGTCAGGGACTGGCTTCACATGTCCATCAGCGAGTGATGGATGAGGTGGAAGGTCGTCACCCCACTCTCCAGAGTTCACTGATCCTATCAGCCATGCAGACACCTCCAAATCAAAGCGGGAGAGACGTTACTGAAATCATGCAATTAGGGTAACAAACTTGGCTTTGCAGAATTTGCTTTTAGACGGATGTGCAATTGGCCATGAGTCATAACTCGTATATTCAGTGTCATTTTTGATGCTTTGTGGAAAGAAAACTGCAACAAGGAAAATTAAAAGTATCAGTTCAACCGTGTTTTATGTGTTTACTTTTAAAGCGCGCTCAATCTGTTGCATTGCATCTTGCTTCCACAGGGGAAGATTGAGTGGAAGAAGAGAGTATATATAGTGTTATTTCAACAGGCTACACAAGAAAAAGATTGCTTGTTGTGTTAGGCAAAGTGCGAAGATTTATTGGATTTTCTTACAATAACAAGACTGCTTCTCATTAAATAGATATCCAACATTCCCTTGAAAAATAGGAATTATTTGCCCAAAGTGATTTCCCATAAAATGCAACGAAATTTGATTGCACCCTGGTATAAACTAGAGAAGAGTATCACCCCTGACTGACCTTAAATTGCCTCTTGATGCCTATGGCGCTGTAGGAAAAACAGTAGCCCTATTGGTTCATTTCACATATGTCGTGGTAAACAAAGCTACAGGATATGATTGGTGATTCAATTGCTGAGGAAATCAAAGAAGGCAACCTCAGAACCTGGATAAGTCTGCCCCCAGTTTTCCAGCAGCAGAGAACAAGGCGGCCAAAGGATGCAGGATATTCTCTCACTGATATCATTCTGTCGGAGGGAGATTGATAAACTATAAACACACGGGAAGAATAGACAATGCACAATGGTGTCAAGCGTCTTTGCTGACAGGAGC